AGGCTGTGGTGGCCGGGAGCGGCCACTGCACTCCAATCTGGGCGACAGAGTGAGAATCCAACTCAAAAAAAAAAAAGGTATTACATATTCAAATAAGTCAAAAAAATTAAATTAAAAAATACCAATAAAGGAAAATTCTATCTAAATAAACTTGATCTTAAATTCTACAGAATATCTCATTCCTTAAAAATGTAATGCATCTCCAAAAACAAATTTTTTCAAATTTTTAATTATTTTACTTACTCACGAACTTATTTGATCACGCAGTAGCATTCTTTTCTTTTAACCATCAACTGATGTGACTGTAGGACTGTGTATTTCAAAATGAACCAGAAACCTACTATCTTAAAGGAATACTCATTCTAATTCAAAAAAATCAGTGCTCTTGACACTATCAACATAATGAGTAAATAAAAGTGAAAAAAAAAAAAAAAGACTTGAAAAGATGACTAAAAATATTCACTACTCCTAACAGACAAGATCAGTATTTTATTACAAAAACCTACCATGAGGGACCACTCTTTAACCTTCTGGAAGATGACTCTGCGTCCCTGGGGCATCCATGCCACCAGCACCGTCACGGCCCTTATGGTTAGCCAACAAACATAAAGACCACAAGCAGCTGTGTAGAGCTCATGGATTTTGGCAGTCCCCGTCCAAAATGACATTAGCCAACGGCCAGCAAATACTGAAAACAAAAAGGCTGATAAATGAGACATGTAGCTAGGTAAAGAGAACTGTAATTTGATGCTGTTCTATTAGTATTTTCACACTAGGAAAAAAGACATCACATTTTGATATATCAATGTCTTAATCAAAACAAAACACAAAAACCACAAACTCTAAAGAGTGCACAGTTATTTGATAAAGTCAAAACCAAAACACAGTAAATCAGTGGAGATGAATTCTCCTAGGATACACACTGGGATTTGCCATGACAATTTCTTGTTCTTTTGAGTCTGAGAAAAATTTTTGAGGAGATTGTTGTTTTTGTTCTTTTTATCATCAACTGAAATCATTATGCACATAGCAGGACAAAGGCAGAGAATTTCTTTCCTATTGTTTGTGCTGTCAATTCTTTTAATATTTAGGAACATTATAAGTAATTTAGAGTAACTTTCTTCAAATTGGCTCATTCATCAAGACAGAAAATTAACTTTATTTTAATAAGGGGGGGCACAATAACATTTTAAAGCAAAATAATCAAGGCATATCATATTCTTTTTCTTAGAAAAAAAAGTAAGACTATCTAAACATACTGGAATGTAAAAAAGAGATTTGAGAACTAAGAGATGCCTCACACAAAAAGTTGTTAGAAATAAATTCTACAGTGCACCCACAATAATCACTCAGGTAAGATTATATTATACAATTTAGTAACTTTCTTTACAGGATTACTTCTCAATAAGGCTAGAGAGAACAGTAAGATTCAAATTTCCAGTACATTTTCTTCCCACAGATTGCCTTCCTACTATGGTGACTACCTGCAAGGAGTTAGTGGCTGTACCGAGCATTTTCCATACATTATCTCATTCACCCTCTCGATGACTTCCCCTTCAATGCAGATATGACCTCCATTTTAAGATTAAGAAACTGAGGCTCAGCAACAGAACCTTGCTCAAGTGAAGCTGAATTGGAAGACATGTCTACACAACAAAGCTCCTGCTTTTGACCACTGAGCTATACCACCTGCAAATCAAACTAAACCAGCCCCATAGTCAAGTCTTCCAAGGCATAATGCTGATTAACCAGACTTCTGACAAACTCGCAAAATAGCTTGGATGTGAAAACAACACTTTAAAAGATAAATATGTAGGTATGTTACATGAAATAAATACATGTGTACATTAATATGATGACACTAAAATCCTAACTTATAATTCTGTGAAATGTCTGGTGTTCTACTGTAGGGTTAATGTATTTTGGCTTGGGAGGTTTTTAGTTTAACTTTTTTTTTTTTATCTTCTCACTCTCACCCAGGATGGAGTGCAGTGGCATGACTGACTGGAGCTCGCCACAACCTCAGCCTCCTGGGCTCAGGAGATCCTTCCACCTCCACTTTCCAAGTAGCTAATACTATAAGCCACCATGCCCAGCTAATTTTTTTATTTATTGTAGACATGATCTTACCACGTTGCCCAGGCTGGTATTAAACTCCTGGGCTCAGGCAGTTCTCCCACCTTGGCCTCCCTAAGTGTTGAGACTATAAGAGGAAGCCACTGAGCCTGGCCAAAAACGATCATCTTTTTAAGAAATATCATTTGAAATTGCTTTTCCTAGTTGCTCCTTCCTAGCCTTAGCCCTCAATACACATTTGATTTATAAAATTATATTGAGTTAGTGTCATAACCAAGACAAAAATTCAATATACATTTATGTTTGCTAAGGGCTGAAAATTATCTTCCACTTGGTGATTATTTAAGTGGTTAACACATATTAATATGATTTAGTATTTTCTGGTCAGATATAAACAATAAATGGGGGAGGGGAGAGAAACAAGTTGCTTTTGTCACTTTGTTGCTGGCTTTGAACTCCACCCCCATCAACTCCTGAACTTTGGAGAAGAAGACAAGATACTATCTTTGCCCACAACCTCTTGCTTGTTAGATGAAGAAAGATTTAGGTGAAATTTCCAACAAGCTCAATGCCACAGAAAATTCATATTTGTGAATACCAAGCAATAAAGGGAAACATTCTGGCTTCATAACATTCTCTAGCAACAGTATACAATGGACTAGAAAGACGACTACATAATGAGAATAAACATAATTAACATCAAAAGACTAGCCTGAAATAATGTAAGTAATGCAGATGGCTTTTTGAAAATCCATAATGTAATAGGACAATATCCATGAAAACTGAGTAACCATAAGTACTTTACCCAAAATCAAGTCATAAATTACAACTTGCCTTTTCCCCCTGTGCTCCAATATAAATGAGTCTATAAGATGGAGAGTCCTGTGTGGACCAATATTTCATATTCAATCAAAAATTAGAGGAAAGAGCCGGGCTCAGTAGCTCAGCCTGTAATCCCTCGCTTGGGGAGGCTGAGATGAGTAGACTGCCTGAGCCCACGAGTTCAAGACTCGCCTGGGCAACTTGGCGAGACTTCATCTCTACAATAAATCAAAAAAATTAGCTGGGCGTGATAGTGTGTGCCTGTAGTTCCAGCTACTTGGAAGGCTGAGGCGGAAGGATCGCCTGAGCCCAGCAGGTCGAGGCTGCGGTAGCTGGGAGCGGCCACTGCACTCCAGTCTGGGTGACAGAGTGAGACTCCAACTCAAAAAAAAAAAAAAAAATTAGAGGAAAGGTACTTCAAGTTTACATTTGATGAAGTCACATCTCATCAAGATACAACTTTCTTCCAGCTAAAAGTCAGAACACACGCATACCTGGTAAAGTAAGGCAGATGAGGCTGGCGATCAGTAATGTTATACACATGAAGACAATCAACAGAAATATCTGCAAGGTAAAACATAAAGAGAGCATACATGATTAGCATGTGCTCAATGTATTTTATGATGGCCCTCAAAGAATCAATGTAATTCTCCCATTAAAAAGAAATTGCCTCTATTTGTATTTCCAGGTTTCTTTCAATTACACATAAAATGGAAATTTTTATTTTAGTAAAATCACCCATAATTTAGGCCAAAAGGAAAATAAGTGTCTATTCTCACATAATCAAATACATTTGTCAAGTAAAAAGCAAATATAAGCCGGGCTCGGTGGCTCAGCCTGTAATCCCGCGCCTTTGGGAGGCTGAGGTGAGTGGATTGCCTAAGCCCGCGGGTTCGAGACCTGCCTGGGCAGCAAGACCTCATCTCTACAATAAAAAAAATCAGCCGGGCGTGGTAGCGCATGCCTGTAATTCTGGCTACTTGGAAGGCTGAGGTGGAAGGACCGCCGGAGCCCAGCAGGTCAAGGCTGTGGTGGCCGGGAGCGGCCACTGCACTCCAGTGTGGGCGACAGAGTGAGACTCCAACTCAAAAAAAAAAAAAAAAAGCAAATATATTTTTTAATCAAAGGGCATAAAGATAAAACACATTCAGCTTAATTTCCTGTTATTAAAATAAAACATTAAAAACTAGAATATTAGCCAGGCTCAGTGGCTCAGCCTGTAATCCGGTGCCTTTGGGAGGCTGAGGTGAGTGGATTGCCTGAGCCCACGGGTTTGAGACCTACCTGGGCAGGCGAGACCTCATCTCTACAATAAATTTTTAAAAAAAGTTAGCCGGGCGTGGTGGTGTGCGCCTGTAGTTCTAGCTACTTGGAAGGCTGAGGCGGAAGGATCGCAGGAGCCCAGTAGGTCAAGGCTGCGGTGGCCGGGAGCGGCCACTGCACTCCAGTCTGGGCAACATGAAACTCCAACTCAAAAAAAAAAACAAAAACAAAAACTAGAATATTTACCTCTTAACCAATTAACAGTGCTATCCAACAGGGATGTTCTGTGACGACAGAACCATCTAGATCTGCACTCCTCAACATAGCAAGCCACCAGCCACATGTGGCTACCAAGCATCTGACATGTGGCTTGTGGGAATGAGCAATGGAATTTTAATTGAATGTAATTCTAATTAAACTGAACTGGAAAAAAGCCACATAAGCAAGGGTTCCTGCATTAAGAAGAGCAGATAAAAAACGATCACACAGATAGGTGAAAACCAGATTCCCTGGGCAGAATGGCAGTGACTACAGCTGGCCTTCCACCTAACCAGTGGCATTTCTATAAGACTAGAGGGTAGAGCACTGGTGGGAAGTCAGAAAAGCACAGATCAAGAACTCAGGGGGCTCTGATATGTCAGCTCTGACCACCTGAAAAGCCCGTTATCGATTCTGTCTTGGATCTAGCCAGAAAGTACCTGTTGCTCAGAGGCCTTTTTTGTACCTGGAGAGCCGCATAGAGACCAGGGAAAAAGAAAAAGGGAGCTGACTATAAGGTCTGCTTTTACCATTAAGAGATAAAGGAAAAGATGACCTCCATGTTTTCTTCTGCAAAACCTCAAGCATAAGCCTCTGCATCAGGAGCAAAGCCTTGCCCCACATGGGGAAAAGGAGCCGAAAGAACAATTCAGTGAGTGCTGACCAACGCAGAGATGGCTTAGGGCTCTCCACTAACTGGCCCCTGCTCACCCAAGAGCCAATCTCCCTCCACTACTCTCACTCCTCACCTCTTCCCCTGGTCCCTCACCTCCCCCTCTTGGCCCTCACTCCTCATCTCTCCCCCATATACACCCCACCGCCTATACATTCAACTATCTGCAGTTACTAGCCTATCATGTCTAACGTATCCCTGCCCAGACTATACCTGAAACACCCTTCCCACTTCCTTTTCCCCTTTCTAACTGGCGTCTCAATTTTCAAGTCAGTTAAGACACCACCTCCTCCAAAAAGATTCCTCTGTGACCATCAAGAACCAATGGCTCCTGATTGAGTCATAACATCCACTGTGAACACCATGACAGGAACCCAAATCTGCTACTGTTTGTTTTCTCGTGTCTCCAAGTAGACTGTAAACTCTTTCAGGGCAAGACTGTGTATCTCTCTAATCCCCGTGGGGACCAAAAATACCATACACACTCAAGATATACTTGCTGAATGAATGGATGGACACACAAGACCTACAAGTAATCCACAAAAACATTATGATGACTTTACAAAAAAATAAGCTGAGGCTGCGAGGTTAATAACCTGTCCAACTTTTAAAATAACCTGACTCACAAGCCCATATCATTTTTAAAGGGTATTTAAAATATAATAGATTGAATATAAATAAAGGAAAACTTTGTTGTAATGATACAATACACGAAGTCATTGACCTACATTTTAACAAAATTCTGAATCAGAATGATCACTTGGTAGTTTAAAGGCCATGGAATAGACACCTTCTTAACCAATCTGGCCTTCAGTTCATCAACTATGAACAGGAGACTGTCACCCATACTTTAGAGTGTTTGGGTGGGGATTAAATGGCAGAGAAGCATCAGAATGCCCATCCTGCTTCCTGACACATAGTTGAAATGCATCAATAATGTTAGTGTTTTATTTACCCTGGAGTCTATTTTTCCACTGAAAAGGGGAGCAAGAGCCCATGGAATCCCAACTCTATGACCCATCTCTAGAATTTAATAGCTTATGTGATCATTTACATATATTCTGTTACATAATGAGGATAATAAAACATGGGTTCTTGATAGAAAAGTGCAAGACCTGTCTACGCAGAGACCTGTATGCTAAAAGCACCAATTCTCAATAGAAATTTGAAAAAAAACCTGTTTTTTTGGTTAAGTCTATATAGTACCTACCCTGAGTGGAAAATTTAAAGGCCGACGGTAAGGCTGAAAGCCGACAGGCCCTCCCTGCTGGAGTATGGCTTGGTGGGCTGCATGCAGGCCTTCCCCCACCACAGGAATAGCGTTGTTATTTCGAGCATGCTGGTTATTGTTGACCTGTTGGTTTGCACTGTTCTCATTTTCTTCCTGGTCTCCCAACAAATAAGAATGGAGATCCCTGTGCAAAAAGTGTAACATTGAAAACTCTTACTTCAGGTCAGAATAAAATGGCAAACATGAGATTTATTTTCTTAGTATTTACTACTAAGGGTAAAAAACATACATGTGGCATCTGTACAAAACATTATTATACCCTAATCTAGTCTGAATGTTGTGGCTTGCTTTAAATTAACCTTTCTAAATTTTGTGTTAGCTAACCTGTAGAATACTCCATAAATTCAATCTATTTTATGTTTTCTTCTACCAGTATCTCAAAAGAAACCAGTAACTGGAAAAAAAAGCACAAAATACTTACAAGTATACTCACAAGTACTTCCTAGTACAAGATGTAAGTACATACTTACAATGTACAAGATCGTAAGAATTTTAGGGGAAAAGAATAAAAACTTTTCTTCACTGTAGATGACTACTATGTCGACCATAACATGTAACTCAACTAAAACCTCTAAACAATAAATTGGATAAGGCAAAAATGAGACTGGGGAGGGAGCAGTTAGAGAAGAGCATATGTTCAACCAAACATAACCAAATCCATATTTCCTATTAAGGTGTCTACAGGATAGCTGGGCACGGTGGCTCATGTCTATAATCCCAGCACTTTGGGAGGCTGAGGCAAGAGGACTGTCTGAGCCCAGGGGTTCAAGACCAGCCTGGACAACATGGCAAGACCTCATCTCTACAACAAATAAATTTTTTAAAAAATTAGCTGGGCATGGTGGCACGTACCTGTAGTTCCAGTTACTTGGAAGGCTGAGGTGGAAGGATGGCCTGAGTCCAACAGTTCAAGGCTGTGGTGGCCATGAGTGTGCCACTGTACTCCAGCTTGGGTGACAGAGTGAGTCTCTGACTCAAAAAAAAGATATCTACAGGATGCCAAATATTCTCTGAAACACTTTTAAATTATAAAGATTTAACTTTTAAATAAGTATATAATGCATAAATCTTGAAAAAAAATAAGTAAAAAGAAAAAAGGCAACATGTTCACTAAATAACTGAGAAACCAAATCTGAGAAAAGCTCATTTACCAGGTTATGAGCTCTACATACAGGTAAGTTGGTTGGTCTAAAATAAAGGTAAATTGGTTGGTTTATAATGCACAAAAAAAATTTTTTTATTCCCTGTGTTATGACATGAAAGAAGCGGCCCAGCAGCAAACCTCTGTTGAGGGCAAAAATATGTATGCATTAGCCACGAAAGGACAATGATAAGAACTTTAAAATTTTTTAAGTGTTATATACACCTGCATCTGCAGCTAGGTATTACTGAATTGTTTCTTATTAACACTAATTATTCTTCAGTGGAGCATGAAACATTCTTTTTCCAGCAAAGTTATTCTATGGACACAGATGGCATGCATGCCTAAGGAGTCAGTTGCCTGTACTCACAGTAAGTACCCAGCAGTCACCGTCCACGCTCTCACCAGCCCTTTCAGCCACTGCCTCGTGTGTCCCTGTTCAAGCAATGCTGGCAAGACAACCTGAAGCAGGAGCAGCTCAAGGGACAGCTCACTCACCGGAGCATCACTGAGACAGTTAAAAAGAGCCAGAATTTGTAATGGGAATTATATTTTCCATTTAACTATACAAGGGGAGACCCCCTAAAAACCCAGAATTTATTTGTAAAAAATTGTGTATTCTTACATGTTTAAACTTCAATCACCTTTAGAGTACTCTCCATTTGATGCAATATACCTATCAAGATGCTTTTTCCACTGCTCAAAACAGTTTCTGAACTGATCATTTTGATGCCTTTTAGCGTTTCTGCCATTTTTTGTTTCACCTCTTCCACATCGGCAAAACATTTCCCTCTGAGGATTTTTTCACCCAGTGAAGCAAAAAAAAAGTTGCTCTAGGTGAAATTTGGTAAATAAGGTGGGGCACAGAGGTCATGCCATTTTTGGTCAAAAACTGAACACTCGCTGCAGCATGGGCAGGTGTGCTGGTAAATCACCCACCATGAAATGGGCAAACACACTGAAAGAATCTCCAAAAAAGAAATTCACAGAAGCAGAACCCAGCCTCTAATAATAACGCTAGCTGGTACACTGATACAGATGGTTTCCTAGAACACTTACCTAACAAGGGAAGCCCGTACTATAAGAGGCTCACCCTCCAAAAAAGTAATTGTTTTTTTGGGTCTCCCTTTGCATTGTATTAAATATCTGATGGGATTACAAGACTCCGTTAAAGAGTTTAATAAATTCACTGTCTTTATTAGTGCTCCTCTCATGCTCTCTTGAACTCTGTAAAACTTTCCCCACAAACTCTTACCAAAATTGTTTCTGGTAAGGGTCACCTATGACCTTCATTTTGTTAAACCTATGGCCAGGTCTTGGTTCTTACCTCACTTGCTGTAATTAAGTAGTTGGTTACACAAATGGTTACTCCTTCCTCTTCAAAACAGTTTCTCCCTAAACAGCTCCCAAGACCCACTGGTTCCCCTTCTCCCCATCCTGGAAGCACTAAAGGGCCCCATGCTCTGACCTTCCTTCTCTCATCTACACTCATTCTCTGGGTGAATGGGACCTCCATGTGGCTTGAAATATCACCTTTCTGTACATTTCTATCTACTACTCAGGTATCTTCCTTACCTCCTAACTTTGTGTATACAAAATGCCAAATCAGCATTGCACATCAACATGTACTAGACATTTTATATTGTGTTCAGTATCAAATTCGCAATCTTCCCTTTTAATCCTGCTTCTCCCACAGTCATCCCCATCTCAGTAAATGCCAACCCCAGCCTTCCAGACACTCAAGACAGAAACTTTGATCCCTTAGTCCCTTCTTTACACCTCACGTCCAAACAGCAGGCGAATTCTTCTGACTGTACCGTAACAATATCTTAACTCCTTAATAATATCCTAACATTTCTCACGGACACCACTGCTACTTCCTTCATCTCTGCCACCCTTGCTTCTCAGCAGAATAACTACATTTTCTTCCAAGCTGGCTTCTTGTTTCTAACCTGGCTATTCTAACCCAGTTTCTTCCCTTCAGCTGTAATGATTTTCTTTAAACCTAAAAAAAATCCTTTGCTCAAAGCTTTCCAAGGGCTCCCAACTTGCTCAAGGGAAAGCAGAAGTGCTCACAAACAGCCTGCAAGGCACTCCAGGAGATGGCTTTCCAAGACCCCTCTGATTCATGGCCAACTACTCTGCCCCTCTGATTCATGGCCTCCCCGCTGCCTCTTAAACAGTCCTGGATGCCACTGGTGCAAGGGTATCCTGCCTTGAAGGAGCCACATGACTCACCATGTCCTTCTGGGCTTTCCTCAACTGTCACCCCCTTAGGTCTTCTCCAGTCACTCACCCTAAATTGCAGCCCCATCTTGGCCACTCTATCCCCTTTCCCTACTCTGTTTTATCCCCACAGCACCTATGATCATCTGGCATATCACAAATTTTATCCATTTTAATATCTCTCTCTCCTACTTAAACTGTAAGTTCCACTAGAGCACAGATTTTTTTTCTTAATTCTGTTTTGTTAACTCTTATACGCCTAGTGCATAGAAAAGTACCTGGCATAGAATAGGCATTCAATTTTGTTTAATGGAAGAATGAACTAAATACTGCTATATAGCACAAAACCCTTGCTAAACTAGGTATAACTGACCATCATAATGGTTTATCTCACCAACACGTAAATCTAGAGCAACACGTAAAGCTGGACCTGTGTCTCCTGGCTTTCATTATGATTGAACTCAAATACATACTATAAACAAACTAAAGTAAGAATTAGAGAACCATCCTCCAAAACTACAAAAATCCTAAGTATAGAAAAATAAAGTTTCATTACAAAAGAGTGATAATTTAAAAAGTTATAAATTAATGCTGTATTTTAAATGACTTATTTTTTCTTCCATCATAAGGAATCAGGATATATTCGCCAATTCTAATTTAATGAAATACAAGTTTCAGATTTTATTGCATGTGCAACAATAAGCCTTTTACTTTTGAACAATCATGTTCCTATGCAAAGCATTAGACCCAAATAAGGTATATGTTCCACCATCATGGTGGGCAAAACAACAAATATTTATAAAAATGAGATAACAAATATTATGAAAAGAGATAAGTACTACAACCACAGTGACAACTTTAAAAAAACGGGATGATGAGTTACTCTACTTAGGGAATATAAAACCTTAATCTAGATTTTAAAAAAGAATATCGGCCAGGCTCAGTGGCTCAGCCTGTAATCCCAGCACTTTGGGAGACTGAGGCGAGTGAATTGCCTGAGCCCACGGGTGCGAGACCCACCTGGGCAACTTGGCGAGACCTCATCCCTACAATAAATCAAAAAATTAGCCGGGCATGGTAGTGCATGCCTGTAGTTCAGGTTACTTGGAAGGCTGAGGTAGAAGAATCGCCAGAGCACAGCAGGTCGAGGCTGCAGTGGCCGTGAGCGTGCCACTGCACTCCAGTCTAGGCGACAGAGTGAGACTTCAACTCAAAAAAAAAAAAAAAAAAAAAATCAAAAACTTGCCAGTGAAACATGGAAAAGAATGCCACTGCAAATAGAGAGGGAAAGACAAAGAACCTAAGTAATTCTGGTGAGACACTGGTCGGTATAGCATGGCTGGAGAGAAGACTTCAAGTCAGATAATGCTGGGACAAGATGTTAGAAAGGCAGCAAGAGCTTATGCCAAGCCTTTTGTGTCCTTCCAAATGGAGAACAAGAGGAAGGTCTCAACTAAGTAAATGGCAAATCAAGATGGATTAGTAAGAGATCTTAAGGAATTAGAAGAAGACTTAAAGGTTGATTAGAAGTCAATTTGGTAAAGAAATCCAATTTGCCTGCAACTGGGATACCGACTGTGGGGATAATGCAAATCCCTAAGGAAGGGTAGAGCTTAGGCTTCCAACTGACTTAAGTTTTTAAAGCAAAAAAGACATTCCATCTACAAACCCTGTACCCTATTTTTAATCTATAATTAAATGTGTGACTTTGACTTATTCCTTATAATGTGCTTTTCAAAATTAAGATGATGCTACTAATACACTCTCATTTAGTAAAGCATTTTAATACCAAACAATGCTATTTTGTTTGCAGAAAAATAAACATCTTCCTTTGTAAAACATAATTACTAATGTACATATGCTCTAAAATATGGCAAAATTTAACTGTCGGATGATTTCCAACATCTGTAAGAAATGAATGTTTTAAATGTTTACTATAATCTGAGTATCAAATCCCTAACAGAGATAAATTAATAAAGCTATTCTGAATGTTACAGACTTACCTGTAGAGCATGACATTGTACGGAAGAAAATTAGGCAGCAGACTCTTAATTATACGTATAGGAAGCCAAAGCATCAGGAGGACAATGGAGCCAAAGACAATCTGCAATAGGAAACAGGGCACAACACTACTATCAATTACTCCCATGTGAGACAGGATGATATCTGACCATACACAGCCCAGGCCTATATCCACACAGAGCTCAACTGTTCCCACTCTACACATTATCCTTGGGTCACTTTGTATAAAAATATATTCCTAATCTGACTGCTACTCTTGCTGTAAGTGTCTGCTATCTAGGACACAATAAAACAGAAGTCACAAAAGATAACCACCACATGGTATGTGAGAAAACTAGAAACTTACAATGAAGGAGCAGAAACACCTGTAACTTAATAAATCACGTGTCACCATCTAAGACGTGGCCCATGTTAATGGCTACCAAAGTTTCCAAAGGACACAATATTGCTTTCAAAATTTTATTTCGGCAAAATTTAGTTTTAACTAGGTAATGTCTTCTTTCAGGTGGAGAAGTAACTTTAAGGTGTTTCTGTTAAAAATTTAACTTAGATGCCAGTAATAAGTCTCTACTGCTTCAATGCAAATTAAATGTTAATTCAGATAATCATAATTTCGACAATCAATTATACAAATAAAGAACTATTAGGCATCTGTGTTTTAGTAAGCATCATTTTACTTATTTACTTTAATAAAGTAACCAACAAAACAGCTACTTGACAACTGAGTTCCACAGACTTAATCAAATATGTTATTCAGTATGATCTGTCACCAGCATAGGTAACACAGAGAGACCTTGTCTCTACAAAAAAATTCAAAAGTTAGCAGTGATGCACACCTGTAGTCCCAGCTATTTGAGATGCTGAGGTGGGAGGATCACTTGAGCCCAAGTTTTAGGCTGTGGTAAGCAGTGACTGTGCCACTGTGCTACAGCCTATGTGACAGAGACCCCCAACTCAAATAATACCACTAATAATAAATATATGCACACATACACGTACTGTACCAGCCCTCCTGATGAAAAAAAAATAAACTAAACAATACTAAAGTGTAGCTCACTTTATTTAAAAAAAATTTTTTTTAAGCAATGAAAAGATCTGCTTACCACTGATAAAATAAATCTTCGGAGATGCCTATAAATGGGCAAGTGGATCATTTCCTGTACTGGATTAAAATCTGGATCATTCAAATTTCTTAGAAACCACAAGACACCAGGTCGAAGTACCTGCAAATATATTTCATTTTATTTTACTTATTTTTTATAATCAATATTTTTTATTATGATATTGTGGGGTATAGTTAAGGGTTAGGTATACAAACATGCTTCGTTCAGGCACCCTTGTTGATAAGAGGTGTCTCCCCAATGCAAATATATTTTAAATATTATAAATATTCATCTATGTCTTCAGGCTCTGTATATAAGCTAAAACATGAACAGAAAAGCACTTAAAATTATTCTGGCATCTAAAATGGACCCCAGAAAGCTGATATGGTTTTCCTGGGAAAAGAAGTTCCTAAACTAGAATCTTTATGAAAACTGCCTTATATTTGACGTCTTTTGATGCTTTTAATCAGTCACTGAAAAAAGTTCCTTGCATCAAATTTGTGAAGAAATCAAGATCTCTAGATCTACATTTCTAGATTTAGAAATCTACATAAAAAATAAATACAGCTGTTATGATAGAGTGCATCACCTGGTAAAAGGGTCATGTTGCAATCTATAATGTCCTAAATAGAAGATCTGATTTCACACTTCCACAGAGAAGTTAAGAAATCCTACAGCTTCTCAGTATCTTCATTTTACTACCTAGATCTTTTTCCTGAACGAACATTGTCACTCAAGAGGCCGTAGATAATGCAGTAATAATGCTTGGGTCCTGGTCCTGTATGGTCCAAACTCACTGAGTTAGCCTGAGTAAAGCATCTAATTTGCCAAAGACTCTATTTCTCCATCTTTCAAACAAGGGGGTTACAGTATAAAATCTCTACATTTCCTTTTTTTTTTTTGAGTTGGAGTCTCACTCCGTCACCCAGACTGGAGTGCAGTGGCCGCTCCCGGCCACCGCAGACTCGACCCACTGGGCTCCAGCGATCCTTCCACCTCAGCCTTCCGAGTAGCCAGAATTACAGGCATGCGCTACCACGCCCGGCTGATTTTTGATTTATTGTAGAGATGAGGTCTCGCCAAGTTGCCCAGGCGGGTCTCGAACCCTCAGGCTCAGGCAATCCACTCACCTCAGCCTCCCAAAGGTGCGGGATTACAGGCTGAGCCACAGAGTCCGGCTAAAATCTCTAAATTTCTAACTCCCAAATACTAGCATTCTTTATAAACCAAAAAACTTCACACTGATAAAATGAAAAATTCATTATAAAAGATTTTATCACTTAATGTAATTTGGAGCTCACATCTATTTAAAAAACAAAACAAAACATACACACACACACATTACTGTACTTTAGTTCTCAATCATTTGTTTCAAAGAAAGAATGCAAGCTTTATTTGCAAACAGAATTTACTATCTTTATTCCATATGATTCACAAAAGTGCTTTGGCCCCTGGCCTCTCCACTCCTCCTCAAATCTTTCAAACAGCAAAGCAGACCAAGAACAGCATTCAGCCTTTGTGCTTTTGTATTCCAATTCCACTGGAACTGTCAGTCTGCTCATCCCCTGCCCTGGACATCTCCATCACCAGTCTCAGTGGCAAAGCTGACTTTTTCAATAGCTAGATACAGTCCCCTGCAATAAAATCAAGGAGACCAGGAATCGTGCCTTTTTTTCTGATACACCAGCATACAGTGCAGTGTCTGGCATGTAGTGAGCATTCAGTAATATCTGGAGAATGATTAAGCTAATGACTAATCAAATACTAGTCTGCTTTTATCATCTTCAAACCAGGCTCCAAAAACAGGATTAGTAATAGTACCCATCTAGCAAGTGAATCGGAATCATAAAGGACCCTAACTTGTAATTCTATACTTAAGGTGTGTAAATCAAAACCAATTTACATGTTTGATCTTCCAAAAATATGTCCTTTGGGTACAGTATTTCCAGCATCACACTTCTTTGGTGTACGAGTTGTGCACACAAAATTCCAAGAGTTTGTATTAGAGGATGATGATACATTATATACCAAGTAAAACAAGTACTCTCATTTAAGTTTTAATATTAAGGTATTATGGGGGTGGGAACTGGAAGGCGGCTTTTGGACATTATATTTCCTCTGTTTAATCACCTCTGAAACTCATAACTCATAATTGATTACAGACAGACATATTAAAACATATGCTATTTTTTTAAACAAACAACTGAAAACAGTTTAATACAATCAAGTCCCCTTTTCCCCCTTAGCATAACGCAGTAGAGATTATGGCTTAGTTAGGATATCATCATAACCCTTGAGGCATGGACTCGTGGTGAATGCAAAAGTCCTAGTTCTAAATGTACAGCATCTGCAACCACCTGCAGGACTCACCTCTCTCAGCAACAGAATGAAGGAGGCAAAGTAGAAGACATAGACCATTCCCACCAGCCAATGCAGAAACATGGTAGTACCCGGAGCAGACTGAAAGCTCAGTTCTCGATCTTTCAAAGTAGCATCAAACATTTCCTGAATCAAAAGAGAACAGGTGAGAGAGATCTGTACCACCTACATTTTCCAAATTAACATAGCCTTCTTCTAAGAAGTGAATAAATAACTGTGCAACACAAGGTACAATGTTCTAGGACTATGGTCGTCTTAATACCACATTTCACAATGTCACAGAACTAGATATAGCTAAGATTGACAACTACTTCAAAGAGGTATATATGACTTTCAAATATAAAGAATGCTAAACCAACTGATGAGTAAGTGCTTTGCTAATATTGATTCTGTAAAAGAATCATTTTTGATTAATGCAAGTCCTCCTATTCTTGGTTACAGGTCTACATTCATGAGACATATGGGAGGCAGGGTGGGGGGGTTGCATAAGTGTTATCTCAGAACCAAAGGCAGCTTTTCTACATACAAAATACTTTTTGAAAAATCAAAAACTGATTACCACTAACAGCCATTAGAGAGTATAATCAAGTGCCAGGTGCAGTGGCTCATGCTTGTAATCCCAGCACTTTGGGATGCCAAGGTGGAAGGACTACTTGAGCCCAGGCATTCAAGAACAGCCTCAGAAACATAAAGACACCTCATTTTTACAAAAAATAAAAAAATTAGCCAGGCATGGTGGTGCGCATCTGTATTCCCAGCTACTTGGGAGACTGATTGCCTGAGCCCAGGAAAGCTGCAGTGAGCTATGATTGTGCCACTGCACTCCAAACTGGTAACAGTGAGAACCCAAGGAAAAAAAAAATTATAATCAAGACTAAGCATCTCAGTCAAAACAAACTATAAAGATAGTCTCCTTATCAAATTACTCTTTTTATGAATATAATGTCGCAGGTTCGAGACCCGCCTGGGCAGCGAGACCTCATCTCTACAATAAATCAAAAAATTAGCCGGGCGTGGTAGCGCGCGCCTATAGTTCCAGCTACTTGGAAGGCTGAGGCAGAAGGATCGCCGGAGCCCAGCAGGCGAGGAAAGGTGGCCGGGAGCGGCCACTGCACTCCAGTCTGGGTGACCGAGTGAGACTCCAACTCAAAAAAAAAAAAAAAAAGAATATAATGTTTTGACATTAATCTACAAAATTTAGGAGAACAGAATGAGCGATAAAATTCTCCACTGGTTATTAAAAAGGTTCCAGTCAAAATACTCCAACAGCAAAAATTGTACGCCAAGCACAGTGGCTCATACCTGTAATCCCAGTACTTTGGGAGACTGAGGCAGGAGGACTTCTTGAGCCCAAGAGTCTAAGATCAGCCTAAGCAACATAGTGAGACCTCGTTTCTATAAAAAATAAAAAACTTAGCTGGGCTTGGTGGCTCAGCCTGTAATCCTGCGCTTTGGGAGGCTGAGGTGAGTGGATTGCCAGAACCCACAGGTTCGAGACCCACCTGGGCAACTTGGTGAGACCTCATCTCTACAATAAATCAAAAAATTAGCCAGGTGTGGTAGTGCACACCTGTA